AAAAAAAAAAAAAAAAAAAAAAAAAAAAAAAAAAAAAAAAATCAATCAGAACCCTTCCATTCCATCATCCTCTCCTTCTGAACTTTCATCAAAGTGAATAGGGCTTAATGTCGGAAATGAAGAAAACCCCGATCGTTGATTTTGTGGTACACGTTCAAGCTGGGGTTCCTGAAGAGTATTTTGTTGTGGTTTCTGCTCTGAACTAAACTCCACATCAGCATCTGTTTCAAGTATGTTTCGAGTAGGGTATTGCGGTGCCACTGGTTGTTTTGTGGTTCTAGTGGGTTGTTGCTGCTGTTGTTGTTGTTGATGCGCAGGTGCGGTTTTCTCGGTTCTTCCATTCTTCTCACTCGCCTCGGCCTTGTGGCGGAGAAAGGCGATGACGCGTCTCTGCGTTGCGCACTTGAGCTGTGATGGGACGATATGCTGCCGCGCTGCAGCCCTTCCCTGTTCCTGCTGTTCGTAGCGGCAGACGATCTCCCACAGCTGGCGGGCCTGTGCGTGTGTGACGCCTTTGCCGAGGCGGATGATGTCGCGCGCGTCCGGCGGGGCGACGGCGAGTCGCGTGACGAATAAATCTTCCATCGCCACTTCGAGGCGGCGGGCGAGGGCGGAGGCGGGGGCGGCGTCGCCGTTGTAGACGTAGCAGTTCTCCACCACCAGCCGCATGTCCCGCACGAACTCGTCGCGGCTGCCGTACTCGTGCCGGTCGAGGCGCCGCGCAATGAGGGCCCACCACATCGGCCTCGCCACCCGCAGTGTGTACTCCGGCAGATCGCAGGGCTTCGCAGCAAAGAGGGCGTTCACATCACGCCGCATCACCTCCTCAAGTACAGAGCGGCACTGGGAGTAGAAGGCTGCATCCAGATGGTGGTACACCTCGTCCCGCTTTCGTTTGATTCTCTCCCTCAGCCTCTCCACTCGAGTGGCAACATCCGTCATTCCTTTTTTTGCTACCAAAAAAAGTTAAATAAATAAGTGTACAGTGGGGAACACCCCAAACACCTCACCAATCAACAAACAAATTAAAAAAAAAAAAAAAAAATACAAGATGCAGGAATGGGGGTATGGGTAATTGCCAAAATTCAGTTATCAGCCCTCTTGTTTGAAAATAAACGCAAAACCCACTTGATCACCCAGACATGTATAATTACTTTTCATTATCACTGCATTTGTATGAAAACAAGAAGCAACAGAAAAAATAACACCAGTATACCTACCCATAGAGAGGTAGTCTTTAACCAGGCGTTAAACCACGAATGCGGTTGCCCATCATCCACAAGTTTAGGTCGTACTTTTGAGCCTGGTTGCCAGTGGTTTGGATAAAGGTAACGATCAGCATACCAAACATTGCCATCTACACGATGTCCTCTCTCGCAGGTAACATCGCAGTATCCCATGAGCTCACCCAAAGAACGTTGTGCATATTCGAGACGAGCATTCCATTGTTGCCACATTCGCGTCCTCATGTTGGCATTATCCGGCGTAAACAAACCTGACATCAACCCTAATTACACTACAATACTTAATTCAAAAGAAGAAGAAAAAACCAGAGATATCGAATAAAAATTGTAGTACAGAGCAAAAGATTATTTTTTTTCTTTTTTTTTTTATTTATTTCCAACCACATTTAAACCTCTTGAACTCTATCAGTCTGACCAAATATTCTAATTTTTCTTTTTCTTTTCTTCTTTCTTAAAGGAATCTTAGTAACCAAACCTCGAGATTAAGCGACCAGAAGCAAGGTGACACTGTTCTAGTATCCTCTCTGCTGCTATTAAGGCTCTTGAACTGTGTTCATCACCTGGACCATATGCGACTCTACTAATGCTTTCGCGAAGAGTATTGAGAGCAGTATTCAAAAAATGTAATTGTACTGACCCTACGTGTGGAGCAAATACGGCTCGATGAAGGGCAGTAGCTAATGAATGTACCAGAAAAGCATCTGTAACCACAGCTTGATCAAATATTTTGCAAGGAACACCAATGGTATCTTTTTTCTCAAGGATAGTTAAAATTGTGGAAAAAATGATACTGCGTTCCACGCCACAATCGCTTAAAATATCCACTGTCAGTGTAGACCCATCAGGTGATTGAAGAAATGCATAAGCTTCAAGTATTTTCGCTACATGAGTTAATGGAAAAGCGATCGCTTGAGCACATTTACTTAGAATTCGTCGTGCCATTTCTTCAATAGTCGTGTTACGTTGCTGAAAGGCTCGTTCAACACATGCGGCGTAATATGATGCATCTGTAACGTTTACAGCAACCAAAATATCTAGCTGAATTTCTGCTCCACCCAATGCAGAAAACATACCTGCAATTTCAAGTAATTGACTTGTAGAAAGTGTATGATTTTCTACAATTTCAAGTTGTTCATTTGCCACTTGACGTTCAGTTAAAACCACCCGATCATCAATTGCAATTTGTCTGTCCAGCTGAGGAAGTCCACTATTAATAAATTCACAAATAACCTTAGAAAGTTGTAATTGTGCCTCCATCAATTTTACACGTTGATCCAGAGTAGAAAATTGATCGGAGTTGCACTCCGCAGCACAATCTCTTGCTTCCGACCAACAACGAAGTCGGTAAGGAATACGTTCTTCTCTAGGTATTTCTAGAAGAGGCCCTTGGGCTATACTAGCACAAATTTCAATAGCTTTATCATAATTCCTCTTTGTCTTTCGAAGATAATGTGCATATTGTTCTCCCAATGTAGATACATTACGTTGTAAATAACTCTCAAGAAAAGGAGAACGTACTGCGATTAATGTCTCTCTAAGCATACGAGTCATGGTCGCATCATCACGCGGTACGCACATCCAATCAAACAAGAAACAATGTGCCATTTCATCTGAAGGTTCAATTTGCCATATAGAGCCAGAGCACAATGGACCACCAAGAAGATTATCTACAACACTTCGATGAGTATTCCATGTATCTTCTAAAGTGCTTACCACAGTTCCAAGTATTTTTACTTTTTCTTGATAAAGAGTATAAAGTGTGGAAGTCAAATTTTCACTTTTATTACCACTTCTTTCGGAAAGATAAATTTCAAACGCTGAATTATTTGGGTCCAACTGACCTGATGCATGAAGAAGTAGTCTTACAGCAGTATCTTCTTTCTTAAGAGCTTTTAGTTGATGACAAATACCCTGTAATGCTCCTGAAGACCAAAGTGAAGCAGCCATTCGAGAAACAGAAGATTCCCAATCGGTCATCTTACTCTCTGAAACTGCATGTAAACTCTCATCGCTTGAAGAAAATATCTGATCAAGTTCAATACGTGCCTTATATTCTTGAACATCAATAGAGTTAAAAAAGTAAGGACACTCAAGTTGAAGTTGAGTCATTGGACTAATTCTCTCCTGCTGTGAAAAACCGATACCTTCTTCAGAAGAGAGTACCACTCTTCCAATATAACGTGCTAATCGGTGGGCAATATTTTGATCACATACAACTTGAGAAAAAGTAACTTTGCTATCATCCAAAGTGAGTGGAATATAAGCTGTTTGTTTTACAAACTTTATTACTTGCAATACCCGCTCACATAATGAATGTAATGAATACAAAAATGCAGATTGAAGCATTTTAAGGTCAAAAGAAGACACAGAAGACCCATGAAGAGGAAACGTGAGTGTCACCTTACTTTGGTCCCAGTGAAAAGGTACAGTTGGTTGAACCAAGTTTTCAGACCAAACATCTTTTTTCAACATGTTAAGAAGTCGCAATAATGAAGAAAGTGCCACTTCAACAAGAGCCAATTCATGTAATGGGAGAAGTTTCAATACTTTTTGCCACACATTGTACAGTACCCTCCCGACGTAGGACATAACACCAAGTGCAAAAGGTGAAACTTGTACCACAATTTGTCTTTCAGCAGCAACACTACCAGAACTTGGACCTTCATGCCAACTTGGCATCATTGCAGTACGAAGTATTTCACGTGCCAGACGTTGAGTTTCTTGTGAAGTTACACCATTAAGTTGAGAACCAAGTTGGTCCATTGAAAGAGGTCCTTGTGTTCTTCCAGGTAATTTCTCTATCTGAGAAAATGGAGAATTAGTAATACCATTTTCAATGTATGGTCCATTTACTATAGCTGGAACATTTGTACAACCAATAGCTATTTGGACAAGCATACAACAGTAATCAGAAGGACTATAAATTGAAGAAAATCGATGAAGAAGATTATCCCTAGTTTGGTGTCCTGAAGATGATAAAATCATATGAAGTGTATCAACCGGTCGTAATTTCATAAAAGTGGATATACCATGACGGTGAACAAAAACAAATTGTCTCGGTGAACATAAAACTTGAACGCATAATTCATTAGGACTTGTATCCTTCTTAAGAGGGACTTCACCAATAGCCTCTACTCTAACCATACGTGATGCCAATGGTTCAAAATGTGCGACAATATCACGACAATTATTGTGTGGAGGTAAAATAGCTTTGGGAGAAGTCACAATATCCACAAAATCAGAAGAATTATTCTCATCTCCTCTCTCTGTGTGACATAAAATACCAATACCATCGGAGGCAAAGCAGACACTTACTTCACGACCGGAAGAAATATATGATGGTACATATTCACGTTGAGAAAGTGTAGCATCAATAGCACCCCATATTCCTTCTTGACAAACGTAGTGGTACTGATCACCGTTAGAAGCAATGGCAATAAGTGAACAATTATCATCATACGGTGACACACAAAATATCTTGACAAGACTAACAGGTTCATCTATTGCACACTCTGCATGACGGTGACGCTCAAATGAATTCCTGTCAAACTTCACATATGTAAGAAATTTTAATCCATCTTCAGTTATTTTCCAAAGAAAAATTTTACTATCTGCATCCAATGTAAAGAGAAAATTACGCCTCACATCCACCACAAGGTCACGTAGAGGTGATCTCTGCTTAGTCCAAGTCTGTTTTAATGCACTCATAACCGAAGTAACAGCTCCCAAAACCGGTATTCCACCAAACAAAAGTGAATGATTTACAAGTCTAACTTTAGGAAACAATGGTGTACTTTCTTTCATATATTTTAGTTCATAAAGGCATCCATCTGCTCCAGCTGTAAAGATACGACCTGTTTCATTTACCCCTAAAATTTTCGTAACGAGTGTAGAGGTCACTACTGAAAAGCCAAGACTTACCACATACATTTCAGTTTTGTTCACTGGTTCATTCCCTACCACACACAATCCAAGGAGATGAATTGTTTTTGGAGTCGCAACAGGAAGTACAAATGTTATGTGAGACTGGAAGACACCAGTAGTAGGGATAATAGGGTTTCCAACAGCAACAATAAGCTCAGGTATCTCATCATAGACCAAAAAATCCCTTCCGGTACTATAATTCCACAAGAGAAGTTTATTGTCCACTGTTATCCACGCCCTTGAGAGTTCTGGAAACAGACCAACAATAGAGTTAGCCTTAAAGGTTCTCCAAACTGTCTTAACTGGATCTGGCCATGATACCCCTTCTAACGGGAGAAAGTCCGGTAGAGTAGATGTTGTATCAAAAGTTGTTAAAGAAAATAGGTGAGGAGTTACATGTCCACAAGCTGATGGGTTCGAAGACTTAGCTATTGCCATTGAATGAACTTCAGCGCTGATGGAGTCCTCGACGGCCTTCTTGACAGCATCGTCAATCTTACCCAGAGCGCTCTCTCGCAAATCCATTTCTCGTTTTCTACTTACTACATGAAAGAAATCCCCCCACCAATAAAAAAAAAAGACAAGAACAATAAAAAAAGAAACAAAAAAAAAAATAATAATAATAATAATCCACTAAACCAAACATTTAAAATAAACAGACCAATAATAATGATAATAATAATAAAATCATTAATGGCAAAGCCTTTTTTTTTTTTATTGTTCCTTTCGGTTTTTTTTTTTCTTTTTTCATTCGTATTACCTAATCTTGGTATTGATAATATTACAAGCAAATGATTTCCAATAGCCCCTATGAGGCTGAATCTGAATCTGAATCAGAGTCGGCAATACGAAATCGTGCAATGTCAAATCGTGTCGGGTTTGGAGGTGATTGTGTCGATGTACCAATAGTATCTAAATCTCGCGGAGTGGTTGGAGTTTCAATACGCGAGGATAGACGTCGGGGTACTACAGGCACAGAAACAGATGAACAACGTCTACGAGGCACTCTTGAGGGAGGCTGTGTCCGCTGTTGAGAGGATGACATCCTCCTGCATGAACTCACTGATGACTCATGATTACCATCAGTGGGTTCCACATTGCAGAGAGAGGAAGCAGTAATTTTAGAAAAACCAACTCCAACATCAAGAACTTTAACATCCGCATCATTAGTAGGAATAGAACTGGAAGGAAATTCAATAGCCATAGTATCGCTAATTTTTTCTTGCGAGATGTTTTCTTCTTGTGGAAGTTCCTGCTGTTCATCTGTTCGTTTATTCTTATTAACCGGAGGAGGAGATTCACTGTAAGGAGTGCCAAATTTGAATGAATCTAGACCATAAGAAGTTTTTCTTGTTTTTGAAGTATTTTTTATCTGTGGGATAGAAACCTTTGAAGATCCCATATTATTGTCAACAGAATGGTTGCTCCAATTACTGCTATTTTCAAAGTTATCTCGTACCATTACCATCCTCTTATCTTTTATGAGTGTAGCATCCACATTTTTTGAATCGCTGAGTTTCAATAATGGCACTGGTATCCCCCGACGAAGATAAAATAATTTGTAAACACTCCATAAGATCTGTGAGTCTTCAAATGATATATCAAAAACAGCCCCATACTTTCCCTCAATGCGCAGAGAATTACGTCGGTGATGCCTAACTTCAATGTCATCCAAGAACAACTCAACTAAACGTCTCCTTGACATGAAACTGAGAAATACCAGTAAAGATGACTCCATCTTAAGGCAAACTCGGACACCCTCATTGCATCCATGATTATCAAAAGTCATGACGTTTGTACGCAGATAAATTCCATCTACAAACAAAATGCTTTCTGCGCATCGGAGTTCTGCACCTGTTAGTCCTTCAACACAACCCACTTCAACTGCCTCCCTCCATTTTCTCTGTTGAGCCGCTAGAGTTTCTTTGGTTTCACTAAGTAGTCCCTCAAGCTGTTTTACACGAACTGATAGACGTTCTACCGTCAAAGCATCATAATCACATTTTATTCCAGAGTTACTATATTTTGTTGACAATATTACACTATCGCTCTCGCATTCCTGTAATACATGCGTAATGGTCCGAAGGAACTCCTTGTGTGCTACCGAACGCCTTCGGGAAGCCTTGCACTCATCTATAATTTGATGATATTCCTCCGGTGATCGATCAGCTGGCTCTAGTCTCCAACCGTAGCTAACTGCGAGGGCAGCATCTGGTCCCATGGCACGGGCCATATCACGTTCTTCTTGAGAAACAGCAACACCATCGATTATTGTAATAGAGAAACCAACAGTTAGGAGCAGCATGATACGATACCATGGATGAGAAGCAATAGGATTCCCTTTAAGATTGATGACAGCAAGACGAGGTTGTCTCGTTAGTCCCATAAAAGTATCAATTCTATTGTTTTGAAGTTGCAATTCTACCAATTTGGGATGAGTACCAAAATGCTCAAAGCTTTGGAGACAATTGTCCCTCAAATCAATGATTACATGGTCGGTGGTGCTGTTTTTAATGCCCTGGAAACTTGATATTCTTTGACCTTGCACGTGGAAACGACCACCATTCATCACGCCTACATCGATAACCCCGCAAACAAAAAAAAAAACAAGAGAAAAAAAAAAACAAGAAAAATATAGCAAACAAAATAATCTAAAACCGTTTTGATGGACAAAGTACTTATTTTTTTCTTTTTCTCAGAAGATTAACTCCAGATAGAATACGCAGCAAAACAATGTCCAAATTATGTAAATAAAGGAACAAAATCGGTCTTGCTTAAGTGTATGTACTTTTACGTGTGTGTGTTTTTCTTTTTTTTTTTCGAGTCATCCTCGGTTTTTTTTTCTTTCTTTCTTTCTTCTCAACCTTTTCTTTTTCTTAAACAGTTTCAAAACTTACGTCTGGTATCTATTCCCCAAGACACCAATGGGCTCCCCCTACCAAGCGTTCTTGTAAACGATTCGCATGACATTTTCTTTCTTTTAATCCTCGTCTCTGGATTGGTCTGGGCGGTTCTTCGGACCACCCGCTTGTTTGGCGACGATGATTTGATTTACCTGAAGAATCGTCAAAACGGCTTCAGTGGCCAAATTAATTGCCCAATATTTTGTGAGATATGGTTCAACAATACCAGCTTCCAACGCATTAATCGTGGTACCATCTTCCACATTAACACCATGGTGTTCCTTACCGGCGTTGTGATCGACTTCCAGTTGTGTGACGACATCCGTTCCGTTGAAACCGCTAACCTCAGCCAACGTCCGCGCAACCATCTCAAAGCTAGATGCGAAATTGCGAATGGCATATTGATCAAGACCAGGACTGGCTTCAGCAAAGAGTGTGAGCCTTTTCTGCAGTTCCATTTCAACAGCACCCGCACCTGCTACCAGTCTCTTATCCTTGGTAAGGGCCTTGAAGACGTTGACACCATCATCAATAGCACGTTCAACGTCGTCCAGAACGTTTTTCGTTGCCCCGCGCACAACAATAGTAGACAGCCTTGAATCATCCTTGTCTTGAGAGAAAGAAATAATATTCTTGCCACCCACATCGGTCACGTCGACGTTATCACATGAGCCAATATCCTCCAGTGTCGGTGTATCAAGACGGGAGAGAGTTCGTGCACCCACGGCGGCGCAGAGACGGCGAAGCTCAAACTTAGAGGAAACTTTCACTGCCATGATGTTATACCGGTTCAGGAAGTGCAGCGCAAGGTCACCAAAAGTTGAATTAGAAACAACGACATTTACACCTGTTTTATGAATATTCGTTATAATTCCCTCCATCACCTCTTCCTCTTTCTTTGAGTACATAATAAGTCCTTCAGCTGACTCAATGAGTGCCGTTCCCTTTGTTTCAGTAGATGGAACATCAACAGCACATCCATAGACGGCAATCTTTGCATTTTTCTGATGACGTACAGTTCCTTCAGGGTTTCGCGCAATTACAAATCCGCGAACGTTTTTGGATGCCAAGACAGACTCACCATCTAGTTTTGCCACACGAACATTATCTACGTTGAAAGATCGAACGTTAGAAGGAGAGGCGTTGATGCAAGCTTCAATAACCAGATTTGCCAAGAAATCTTCATATCCGTATTGTTTTGAAGCGATGGCTGTGCGGATAGGTGCAATTAGTTGTTCCTTGATCAGCATATCATCAACTGTTCCGACTGTAATGGTTTCAAGAATTTCCAAGCTTTTGTTACCTGCCTTCTTGTAACCTTCCAGAATTTCACTTGGATGAAGACCCATTCGCACAAGTGATTCAGCCTGCGAGAGTAATTCTCCGGCAAGAGACACGACAAGATTTGTACCGTCACCGACTTCCTCCTGCATGGCGTTGGAGGCTTGTACCAGAAGTTTCGCCGCTGGGTGCTCCACATCAAGCTCACGAAGAATAGTTGCGGCATCATGAGTTACGAAAAGTTTGTTAAGATGATTTATCACCATCTTACATAATCCGTAAGGACCCATGGAACTGCGTGTAATTTTGGCAAGCTCACGACAGGCTTGAATGTTCTTAATGACAGGATCATCAATAAATGTTGAACCATCCTTCAACATGGATGTTGGACCAGTTTGCATGAACGACATTTTAAATGGGTAATATTGGAATTTTGAGACCTCTTAATTCAGGAAAATAATATTGCCAAAAAAAAAAAAAAAAAAAAAAAAAAAAAAAAA